TTATTAAAAAAGCATTTCATCAAAATTAAACACACTTGGAGTTGAGTTTCTTTATATATACATTATACATTATGCATCTAAAAATTTTATTCAATGAGTAAATTAAAGTTTACCAGTATTTAGTTTTATATTCATATTATGAGTTTTACTAACTTAAATTGAACAGTAATATTTGCACATAACGAAACATTAAATAGAGGAAAGTGTAAAACATATGCACCTGTCCCACTATTTTCAGCAGTGCCACTTTTGATACTTTCATCCCTCTTTCCAGAAAGACAAGTGTAGACACATGCATTTCTTGTTAAATGTATTCCTAGGTAATTTTCTCTTTGTAATTCTATTCATAAATGAGATATTTTAGCTAAGTTGTTTTCTAGTTTTATATGCAGGTTAATCTTTGATATGTATGTTAGTTTTGTAACCACTTTTATTAAATTAATTCTCTTACTGTTTCTAATTGTGTCCCACCTAATTCCATTGTATTTTTCAGCATTTAATTTTTAAAAAAATGTCATAGGCTGACCAATTTAGCATGAGCATTGATGAATTACTTTGTGTTTTGAAATCAAAACATCATGAAGGAAAATATATTTGTGTCAAAACATCCTTTTTCTGAATTTGTCTCTGTATCTAGGACATAAAAGGCTTCTATCAAATAGCTTTTAATATACATTTGTTGATTGAATGAAAACCAATTTGAAATGAAACTAAAATTGAAAATGAAATGAGAACAAAATCAAGTTTATAAAACTAAAGTGACAGCTGTGCTTAGTTTATGGTGTAATATGTACAGCAGTGTAGGAAATGTGATCCCTCTACTATAAGATGTAGGAAATCTTAATAATGCAGAGCCTTGCAGGTGTATGTGAATGAGGATGGGGGAGACTCGGGGATAGGCAGAGCTTGAATCACAGTCCCGACTGCTTTGTTTCCCATGGGTTGTCAAGATATTTTACTATTCAGAGTTATTTTGCAAATGATTATCTAGATAATTAACAGGAACCAATTGAAAAATATTAGAACTTGTAACAGTTTAGTTTAAGTAACCAAATAAAAAATAAATACACACATATCAATAGTTTTCTCTATGCTGGCAGTAACCTACTAGAAAGTGTGGGAAATGGAGACCCCACTTCCCAGTAAAGCTTGGTGTGTAGATTTAGGAAATTTTAGTGTAAATCTAGGAATAGCCTTAAAAGAAATGAATGAAACCTATGTTAAGAAAACGATATACTTTACAGAGAAATCCATTATGTTCTTGAAAGAGAATGCTGGCTGGCATAAAGATGTCAATTCATTATAGTTTTTATAAAATCCTACAGGAAATTTCTGGATTTTGACAGAATGATTCCAAAGATAATTTTTAAAGAAAAAGCAACAACAAGAAAAGTAGAGAACAGGGGTGCCTGGGTGGCTCAGTTGGTTAAGCATCTAACTTCTGCTCAGGTCAAGATCTCACTGTTTGTGAGTTTGAGTCCTGAATTGGTGAGCTCAAGCCCTGCTTTGGGTGAGACCGGCCCCTCCCTCCCTCTCTCCCTCCCTCTCCCTCTCTTCTCTCTCTCTCTCTCTCCCCCTCCCCCACCCAGGCCCTTGCTCACTTGCACCCCGCTCTCTCTCTCTCTCTCTCAAAAAAAAAAAAAAAAAACAAAAAAAAAAACAGTGCTTCTCTGATGAGATATTACATTATATTTTTAAAGTTACAATGATGCGAACACAACTGCACTATTAAAGGTGGATCAATGGAAAGGATACATGTCCCTGAAATAAGAGTTTATTGTATGATAAATGTAGTACTTTAACAATTTAATAAGATTGTTAACCTATGATGATAAGATAGTTGGTTAAATGCTTAGGGAAAATTAGATGTATATCCTAAACTTATATCTACATAAGTTTATAGGTAGATTCAAGAGTTGAAAGTGAAACCATCTCAAAAACCTATAGGAAAATGGAGATGTAGGTGGTGAATGTAGAATCTGGTTATTTGTTTTTTTGATGTTGAGTTTTGGGCATTTGCTATATATTTTGGATACTAATCCCTTCTCAGATATATCAGATATATGATTTACATTTTCTCCCATTTTGTGGGTTGCTGTCTCCTATATTGAATGGTGTCTTCTGCATATTTACCAGTTTTTATGAAATCCAATTTTCTGGCTTTTGTTGTTGTTGTTACCTCTGCCTGTGGTGTTGTATTCAAGATACTGCTGCTAAATCCAGTGCCTTGAAAATTTTGACCTCTGTGTTCCTTGTCTTCAAAGGTTTTGTAGTTTTAGTTCTTATATTTAGATCTTTGATCCATTACAAGTTAATTTTTGTATATGGAGTAAGATAAGGATCCAGCTTCATTCTTTGGCTTGTGGATATTTAGTTTTCCCAGCACCATTTATTGAAAAGACTGTCCTTCTCCTGTTGAATAGTCTTGATGCCCTTGTCAAATCATTTGACCATATTATATGAGGGTTCATTTCTGGGCTCTCTAGTCTGTTTCATTCCATTCTATTCTGTTTCTTAGGACAGTACCATATTATTTTGATTACAGTAGTAGGTTTTTAAACCAAGAAATTTAAGACTTCAAACTTTGTACTTTTTCCCCCTAATATTGTTTTGGCTATTTGGGGTCCCTTGTGATTCTGTATGAATTTTGGAATGAACTTTTTTTTTTGCAAAAATATTGGGATTTTTGTAGGAATTTCATTGAAGCTGTAGATTGCTTTAGGTAGTATTGACATCTTAATATTAAATCTTCCAATTCATGAACACAGGGTGTTTTTCCACTTATTCATGTCTTTAATTTTTTCAGCAGCATTTTACAGTTTACAGTATATGTCTTTCATCTCTTTGACTAAGTTTATTCCTAAGTATTGTATTTTTTTGATGTTATATTTATTTCTTAACAAGAAGAAAGTAAAGGCACTTTTTGTTCAAAAATAATGAAATAAAATTAATTCTCATCTAATCAGAAGAGACTTTTATCATTTGTTCATTAATAGTAATTTCTTTGAGTATCCAATGATATGGAAAAAACCAATAACATACAGCGAATTGGAAAATACAAGATATAAAACTGAATAGAATGACTCCAGTTTTGTTAAAATAAAACATTTCGTGCATATAGAAAAATATATGTAAGGAGTATGTTTAAATGTTAATAGCAAACAGTCACTACATTTGTGGAAATTTTTATTTTTAAAATTTTCTTCCAAATTTTTTATAATAGATGTGATTTTTTTTTTTTTTAACTTAGAAAAAAAGTTGTGCGTTTAAAAAAAGGCACGGCAGGGGCGCCTGGGTGGCGCAGTCGGTTAAGCGTCCGACTTCAGCCAGGTCACGATCTCGCGGTCCGTGAGTTCGAGCCCCGCGTCAGGCTCTGGGCTGATGGCTCGGAGCCTGGAGCCTGTTTCCGATTCTGTGTCTCCCTCTCTCTCTGCCCCTCCCCCGTTCATGCTCTGTCTCTCTCTGTCCCAAAAATAAATAAAAAACGTTGAAAAAAAAATTTAAAAAAAAATAAAAAAAGGCACGGTTACCTGAATGGGGTTAGATAAGCTGTGGACTCATTAGCAAATGGATGAAGTGGAATGAGAGGGTCTAGAGCTGGCAGGGTGGATTTGCTTGTTTTAAGAAAGTTTGGCAAAACCAAGCCTGTCTATGTGGGTGTCAGTGGTGAAGAGCCAAAAAGCAAGCATTTATAATTGTAGAATATAATATTTAAGGCTGTTTGTAAAGGAGCTTAACATTTTATTTCAAAGGACTACTATGCATTATCTCGTTTTATGATTCCTGTGGGTTAATTATACTAGATATTTTCTACATTTTGTAGATGAGAACATTTCCTGAAAAACCAATATTCACAGGGTTGTATAAGAGTCTCTCTAGCCACAGAATGACAGTGCTGGAGGATAGTCTTAATAGTGCTAGATTAGCGGGGGAACTTGCCGATGGCCTAGATTTATAAATTTAAAGGGCAAATTGGTATAGAAATATGCAAAACCTTTTTGTCTAACCTGCTTTTTTTGAAAAGCCCAAATGTAATTTGAGCAAGTGATATTTTGGGTTACTTGCAGATTAGTTGTCTCATTTAAGGTTAATTTTGACCAATGGTTCTTACATGAAATCTTTGACTCCTTTTATTTTATTTATTTTATTTTTTTTTTAAATTTTTTTTTTCAACGTTTATTTACTTTTGGGACAGAGAGAGACAGAGCATGAACGGGGGAGGGGCAGAGAGAGAGGGAGACACAGAATCGGAAACAGGCTCCAGGCTCTGAGCCATCAGCCCAGAGCCCGACGCGGGGCTCGAACTCACGGACCGCGAGATCGTGACCTGGCTGAAGTCGGACGCTTAACCGACTGCGCCACCCAGGCGCCCCTTTGACTCCTTTTAGAATGTAACATGAGCTATGAGCCCACTCCTCAGAAAAATGTCCTTTGCATTTATGCATACACAGAGATTTGCACATGATTTCAGGGAGGTTGCATACCTCCTGATTTCTATCCATTGCCACTTCTAGGAGCTCTTGATCACAGGTTTAGAACCTCCAATTTAGAATCTACCTAGATGTTAATTGAGGAAGAAAGGAAAACGTAGGAGAAAGTCTATGTTTTAATTTTAGATAGATTATCTCAAGAAAATTGTTTTTGATAATTGGTTTTACAGCAGGCTTTATGCTTAGACATTTGTCCACTAAGTTTCTAGCTTGTTGGTTTTAGTGTTGTTAAAAAGATTTTATACTGAGTTCTTTTTCCAGTTGCTTTGGTGTCCATGGTCCTTGCAATGAATTTTTCATTTAGTGAATGCTAATTTTTTACTATCCTTAAATTAGTACATTTCAGAGTAGAAATTATGTGAAGCATATAAAAAATCTTGAGTAACTTCATTTATATATACTTCCATGTGTATATATATGGAAGGTTTGATTTTAGAAACAGTCGTGTATTTTTATTTTCTATTTTACTTACTTATTTTAAAATAATAAAAAGTGTTATATTTTCAACAGGAGAATCTTATTTACAGTGCTGATCCAGAATCCTTTGAAGTAAATACTAAAGATATGGACAGTACATTGAGTAGGGCATCTAGAGCAATAAAAAAGACTTCAAAAAAGGTGAGTCATAGTGAGCTTATTATTTAATATGTCTCCAAGATGTATTTTTCAGAGTATATTAAAATTATATTGCCACAGACATCAGTGTAAGGATAGTCTGTATAGCAGAGCTGTTTTCTTGGTTCTAGGAAATGGCCCATAGAGGTAATAAGTTTTATTTCAGCACGTTCTATAGCGCTTGTTATCCCTTCCATTGATAGTGATACTTCTGTGACCTGTGCTTCAGTAGAAATGTACTGATGGTGGCTTAGATGCAGATATGTGTGCACTCATCTTAAATATTGTCTCAGATATTTTTCAGCAAAGGGCACATGACAGAGTCAGGAGACCTCGGATCTATTCCTAACCTTACGTATGTTTCAGTCTTCTAATGATGAAGATCACTTCCCTTCTTATCAGAGTTGAGGACTATGTAAGAATGTTGGTAATGGGCTTTTAAAAAGTAGAACTAGCATTATAATATTTTAAGCAAAATTTGCTGCCATCATCTGCTAAAGTTACAATTTTCTGTTGTTTGCTTTTGAGGGGAGGCTTTCTCCTTTATTTAACTATCTTTGTATCTCCAAGCATTTAATGTGTATGATATATAGTAGATAAACATGCTGAATAATGATTCAGTGAGCTCCTTCACTTTGTAATAAATAAATCGAGGTTCATGTGGCCTTGGGTTAGAGATTTCATGAGTAAATTTTAGCAAAATCAGATAAAAACCCAGATTTCTCCTCTTTGCAGACCCTGTTTTCCCTCCTACATTTTTTCTCCCATCGACTATGGTCCTTTATGAATGCAGAATGGAATAGTCTACAGTGTACTACCACAACTTTTCACTGTTTTGTCCAAAGAGATTCTAATTCTGCCATATAATCTTTGTAGAAAATCTTCATGTGTATTTGGCTTTGTTTATGTTCTTACCAGTTATATTAGATTTATTAGGCTTAATTTATTAGGCTTAATTAATTGTAACTTGTTTTAACTGTAGGTTACAAGAGCGTTCTCTTTCTCCAAAACTCCAAAAAGAGCTCTGCGAAGAGCCCTCATGACATCCCAAAGCTCAGTGGAGGGAAGAAGTCCTTCCAGCAATGACAAGCATGTAATGAGTCGTCTGTCTAGCACATCATCATTAGCAGTAAGTGACTTTGATCTAATGGGCTAAATGACTTACTCACATTTATGGAGTTGGTATGGAGTTTGTTAACTTTTTGAAGATGGAAATGTTAATACCTCCATTTTTTTTTTTAATCTCTAAACTTCTAACTTGTTTATTGGGTAAAGGTAACTGAGAAAAACTTCACTTAATGAACTAGAGATATAGAGTGTAGTTTGATATGAAATTTTATTGGGATTGAGATACATTAAAAAATCTCTCAGAAAAGAAACCTATTTTAATGAGTCCATCACTTTAACTCATGTAAATAATGATGGTTCTGTTTATGTAGATTGGCTCCAATAAGATAGCGGAGATTGAGGGGTTTTTTTAAACCTAGAGGTTTTTTTTAAAAACCTAGTTCTGTGACGAGTAGAATATAAACTCTGAAGCTGAAGGATGATATGGATTCTAAATTCATGTGTATATTTTTAAATGTTTCCTGAATAATTCAAATTTCTAGTGGTGTTAGATGTATTTGATATTTAATATTGGGGACATTTCTAACATTCTAAGTATGTGAGTGATGTATTTGTTGTTTGTAAAATTATTATTGATCTAACCTACTAAGGTTAACAAAAGCAAGTAACACTTCTTTTTTTTTTAAGGTGTTTTTTTTTTTTTTTTTTATGTTTATTTTATTTTTGAGAGAGAGAGAGTGAGTACCCGAGCGTAAGCAGGGGAGGGGAAGAGACAGAGAGCGAGACATAGAATCTGAAGCAGGCTCCAGGCTCTGAGCTGTCAGCACAGAGCCCGACCCGGGGCTCAAACTCACAAACCTGTGAGATCATGACCTGAGCTGAGGTTGGCGCTCAACCAACTGAGCCACCCAGGTGCCCCAAGTGACTGTCACTTCTTAGTTGTGTGTCCTTCAGCAAGTTTCTTGTTCTCTTATCTTCCTTTTTGCAGCTGAGAAAAAAAGAGGTTAATAGTACTTAACCATATAGTGCTATTATAAGGATTAAATACACACACATACACACACATATATGTATGATGTGATTTTATATGAGAGGCAATTTGAATAGTGGTTAAGAGCATGAACTCTGGAACTCACATGTTCAAATCCTGGCTCAGCTATTTGCTAGCTGTAGGACTTTTGGCAAGTTATTTAAGGTCTCTCTGTTTCAATTTCACTATTAGTAAGATGAATTTAAAGTAGTAGCTGCAAGGATTATATAAGTTAATATATGAGAAGTGCTTTGAACAGTACCTGGCACATCATGAATGGTCTAGAGTTTTATGAGTGGTCACCTCTTATATAAAATTTATAGATAAGGTACATAATATTCAATAATTCTTACTTTTTTTAAAGCCAATTAAGTCTTGGTTAATACATCAGAGACTTACAGTTGAATCTATGTGTATGTTTATAAAAATTTTGGATGAAGGTTAGCCTTCCAATGGGAGCGAAGTTGTGCCTGATATTATAAATTTGTGCAAAGAAATTTGATAAATGAAAATGAATTAAAATGGACAAAATACAGTTAGGCCAAAGTACTATCCCTTGTTTACTTCCTGCATCTATAGTAACTATTATAAACATTTCTCTTCAAATGAATATAATTGGACTTTATGGAAAATTTTTAGAAAATTATTTATAATTTTGTCACTCCTATGTAGATAATATAAGAAGTACCTAAAATATCTTTAAGACATTCATGTCCTCTTCTCAATTGCTTATTTCTGTTCTAACAGATTGCCCATTTTGTTTCCACAAGCAATACAGTTGGATTTACTAAGTATGCTTATGTACAGTGCTCAAACTCTACTGGTGGGCGCTCTCAAAACTCCTGGTTTTGATCTATACGTCATTCTACCTCACAAGCTAGCTTTTCAGAGATACTAGACGGAACTGTTGATTTTTCAAATTTGCAAAAAAGTCCTATCCAAGTCATCTTTGACATTTGTGAAGAATTAGGAGATATGCCAGCCAGTAATGGAAACAAGCCTCGTGAAGTTTAATGTGAGCTTATTAGCTATTTGAAATGTGTATTTGTGAAAAAAGAAAGTATTCTTTCTTCATTGAATCTTTATTAGGTGGGTGGGGACTTTTGAATTCACAACTTTATACCTTCTTTGAATTCACAACAGGTTAGGCTTAATAGAGTTTGTGCTATGTGTTAGGTGTATTGACACATAAAGATATTTTTTGGTAGGTAATTTACTCTTAAGTCCAGAAAAAAGTCAATCCCATTAGAAATTTTCCTGTTTATGAAAATGATCGTTTTAAAGAATAGTAATAATTGTGATCTAAAATGGATTTTTATTCCAAATCTTATTCTTAATCTTAGATTTATGGCACTTACATAAAATTTTGCTTTTTAATATGGCATATCATAAATGTTTCACCTAAAAATAAAGTAAGCTTTTATACTATCTACTTAAATCATCTTTGTTATCACTTGAATGGCAGTACTTTACCAACCCAGCTCTTTAAGCACTACATTTTACTACCTTGTTGATGAGAACTTACAGCCAGCTACCTGCGGACTCTTAGTATGGTTAGCCATTCATATGGTATGTTAAAATAAAGTAGTAGCTTTCTTTAGAACTCATTTTGATTTACACGCACTCTTAGATTTTGGCTGTTCTTGTGCATGTTTTTTTGTTATTGTTGAAAATTCTGAGGATATTTAACTTTGACCTCTGAAACCATAAGTTTAGATAGCTTAGTAACTTAATCTCTATTATAAGAAGTGCTGCTATTTTGCTTTTTATATGGAGCAAACTTACACACACACACACACACACACACACACCTATGTATGGGTTGTGCACATGATACAGACTCTCTAGGAGTGTATGACCTTTAATCATAGAGAATTATTTCTCATGAAGTAATTTCACTCCTCTGAATTTTGCTTTATGATTAAGAAGAAACTACTAGGGTTTGTTTTTTTTACCTCAAAAACTTACTAATTTATAAACTTTTAAAATAACCTGAAGTTATTTTAGTACCTTCGTAGCAGTAAGCCAGTATCTATTCCATTTGAGTTAATATGTAGTTAACTAGTCCATTTTTTTTTCAGAATGCTAAAATAGTTTTATGTTTTCTCCCTATCCCCCTCCCCTAATTTAAATTCTTTTATTTATTTGAAGAGTTTAGAATTTTCAGATGTTTTTTAATTAATTGTATTAATTTTAAAATGATATGCATGATCCTAAACTGTGTTATACTTTTTTAAAAGAAAACTTTTAAGTATAAAATATTTGTCTTGTTTTTACAGGGTATCCCATCACCCTCCCTTGTCAGCCTGCCTTCCTTCTTTGAAAGGAGAAGTCATACTTTAAGTCGATCTACAACTCATTTGATATGAAGCTTAAAAAATCTTAATTTAGAGCAACTTATAAACACTTCATACTTAAAAACTGACTTAAATGGTACTTGTCATTAGCACTTGGGGAAAGCTGGAAAGAATGTAGGTAACACTAAACTGTGCCATTTGATTTTCTTCTTTAAAGTGTAAGGTTAACCTCTTACATTTTTTTAAGTAATTCATGTAAAAAATTATATTGATTTTGATGTAATTTTTCTCTTCCCTCGAGTCCTTCATTCAAAGACCAATAATTTAAGTTATTCACGATATTAGTAGCTTTGCAACTTGATAACAGTAAATAAATTTTATTGGTGGATGCGAAATACCGCTGTGAATCTCTTTGTATATAGTGTCAATGAATGAATTTTTGGAAATACCTATTTGTGTATCTCAATTTGTGAAGAAATTAAGTGATATCACAGTACTTACTAGATAAAAAACCACAGATTCCTGATTAATAGTGGGGACTTGTTTCACATGTGCTATTTGAAATAGTTGTTTAACTGCTTCTGTTGCAGTTTATTTTATTCTCAAGTGTTTTCGAGATCTAGAGTGGCTTTTTAAAGATTTGCCCTTATTAATAAGAATAATGGTTAAAGGAGATTGTTTCAAAATACTTTTGCAAATTGAGATAAGGACAGAAAGATTAAAGAATAATGTATATTTTGTCAAACATGATATTAGGGTATACTTATAACTTTTTCAGAGACCATATATTTTCGGTGATTTTAGCCACTAGCAAATCTTCACTTAGTTTGATAGTGTGTGAAATTTTATTGTGAAGGATAAGACCATGGGAGAAGTTGTGGGATAGAGTGTTTATACTTTTTATGAAATAATTCTAAAGTTGGCACCAGTTTTACTAATTTGCTGTAAAATACATAGGTATGTGTATGGTCTACCTTTTATTTTGGTCCTATAATTAAATGTAAAATCAAAATACATTTATTTGCTGTTGTAAAATATTTTTCAAACCCTGATGTTAATTTTCACAATAGTTTTTGTTTTTGTTTTTGTTTTATAGTCCGTGATAACAAAATAATCAAGTTCCTATGAATAAATGCACTTTTAGTTCCTATCTGTAGGGAGTACTGCAAACATTTAATTGTCATTTAACAATTTCAATCATCTCCTTTATTAGTATAACTGACTATATAGATTTTTTTCTGTGCCACATATTTGCCATTTTTAAATAGTAAATGACTATTGATATATTTTAAAAGCAGTGTATTAGTAAGAACTTTGTAAATAAATACTTAAAACTCAAGTATATCTTGTTTCATGTTTTAAACAATTCCTTTACACAGATTTTCATAGCTCGGTATGAATGCTTGCATCTACCTCTGCTCTCATATATTTGCTTGCGTATTTATTTGCCTATTCCTTTCTCCATTAATATTTTTGACCATTACATCTACTGAGCTTTATGTAGGATGACAGCTTTTAATCTAGAATCTATTTTGCAGAATGGGTGTAGTGAATCCTATGATAGTTTATATAAAATTTTGTGTTTATGTGCATGTATGCATTTTTCTGGCGGAAATTACACAGCTTTTATCATTTTATTAGAAATGGAGCTGTGATTCCCTCCAAAAGTATGGTGTTTCCAGTGAGAGAAAATAACCTGAGATAAGGCATGAAGTTGGAAACATATTGGATGAACACTGGCAAAATATTAGCAGGTAGTTAATTTTAACTTTAAAAGGAATGCCTCTAGTTTTTCTCATGATACCTGCTCTACAACTAGTATTTTTGTTATATCCCCGTTATCAATTAAAGACTGTTTGTATGGGGGTGCATGGGTGGTGCAGTCAGTTAGGTATCCACTTTCAACTCAGGTCATTATCTTATGATTCGTGAGTTCAAGCCCCACATCGGGCTGTCAGCACAGAACCCACTTCACATCTGCTTCTCTTTCTGCTCGAAATTCTTCTCTCTCTCAAAAATAAATAAACATGAAAAAAAAAAAAGACTGTATACTTAATCTGTTAAGATGCTTTATCATGTATGGATATTAAATATAATTAAGCTTTCCTTCTCTATTGAGAACATGTTTTATTTAGTGATCTTTAATCAGTTGCATTACAGTAATACATTTTGTAATGTTAATCTATTCTTGTATTTGCAGGCTACACCATATAATTTTCCACATGAGGTATTAAACATAGAACCATAACAATAAAGAATCACATTTATGAAAGAGATGTAAGAAAATGTTAACTCTATAACAAATTTGAAAATCTGGAGGACCTAGACAAAGTATAGCCAAAGTTGACTCAAGAGGAAGTAGAGAATTCTAATGGCCCAATAAATAGCACAAGTTAAATATGCACTGCTAAAAAAAAGATGCAAATTCCAAATGATTTTAAAGCTGAGTGCCAGCATTTAAAGACTACTTAATGTATAGTAATAGTCATACTTTGCAGAATTAAAAAAGATTGTCAGCTATGCAGTTCATTTTGTGAAGTTAACATAAACTTTATATTAACGTTTTAAAAGGATAATGTAAGAAAGAGAAGTACTGATTAATTTCAATTATGAATATAGAAGCATAAATTAAATAAATTATTAACAATTAAGTCTAGAAGTATAATTAAAATAACAGTCCAGCCAAATATATGACCATTGGACTGATTAATAAACATGGTAAGTCTAGATCGACATAATGATCATGGTAAATGGAACATACTTCTCTTGACTGAAGGAAGAAGGATCAGTCATGTGACATACAACATGATTACAGGATAATGGTGCATTACATTGATTTGAAATCTGAATATATCCTCATCTATTGCTTTAGCCTTCTTAGACTAAAACAGTTTGATTCAAGTTTATATCTCAACTCAGTACCATTAGGGAGCCAAAATGGGAATCAGTTTCCTAGATGGCTGCAATATTAATGCTAAAGAGCCTTTTGAATTGTTTTAGGGATTTTACTGCATCAAATAGTGTTCTTTCAAGAATACAAATGTGGTTCAACATTTGGAAGTTTACCAGTATGACTTATTGACAGTTTATAGGAGAAAAAAAAATGACATCAATATTTTCTATAAGGTCACTTAGTAAAATTCAGCCACTGTTCTTCATAAAATTCCAACTAAGGACTTTTGGGCAATATGACTAAATACATTCAGAGTGGGTGTCCTTCTAATAGAAAAATTAAACGTTTATGAAATATTTATTTACTTAGAAAGCACATGCAAGCAGGGGAGGGGCAGAGAAAGAGAGAGAGAGGGAGACAGGATCCTGAAGCAGTCCCTGCGCTATTAGCACTGAGCCTTAGCAGGGCTTGAACGCACAAGATCGTGATCTGAGCCGAAGTTCGTTGCTTAAACAACTGAGCCAGCCAGGCTGAAATATAATTTAAAAATAATTTTAGTATATAACTGAGGTTAAAAGAAAAATATGGAAATCTCCAGGTGTGGGAAATCGATAGAAATCTAAGCCAATCAATCAAAATACAGGTTTGTGTTTGTGGTGTGT